CCACCCTCCCCTCGTTCCCTTCCACCTTCTCCTCATTCCCTTCCCCTCATTCCCACCATGTTCCCTGTGCTCCCACCCATGTTCCGTTCATTCCCATCCCCTTCCCCTCATTCCCACCCACCATCCCCTCATTCCCACCATGTTCCCCGTGTTCCCACCCCCGTGCCCTTCCCCCCTCCCCCTCATTCCCCCCCCGTTCCCGTGTCCCCCGCCGTGTCCCCCCCGTGTCAGGTACGTGCGTGAGAAGACGCGGACGGGGGTGGACATGCGCGTGGGGGTGCACAGCGGGACCGTGCTGGGCGGGGTGCTGGGCCAGAAGCGCTGGCAGTACGACGTCTGGTCCACCGACGTCACCCTCGCCAACAAGATGGAGGCCGGCGGCATTCCCGGGTAAGGGGACATTCCCACAGGGAATGGCAGGAGGAACAATGCTGGGTGGGTGATCATTCCCACTGGGAATGGTGGGATGGGAGGGATGGACGGTGCTGGGTGGGGTGCTGGGCCAGAAGCGCTGGCAGTACGACGTCTGGTCCACCGACGTCACCCTCGCCAACAAAATGGAGGCCGGCGGCATTCCCGGGTGGGTGAGAATTCCCGCTGGGAATGGCGGGATGGGAGGAGTCGGGGGGGAGGAGCCACCTGGGAGAGAGGAGGGAATATTCCGGTGTGGAAAATCCGTGGGAAGGTTTATTTGTGTGGGTGTGATAAGTGCTGTGTGAGCAATAATGTGATGTCATGTGGGAATACAAAAAATACGATAGAACATCGTATAATAAATTAAAAATAGAATGTAAGCAATAATATGATATATAACCTATAATATATAATATAACATAATGTAATTCACCACACAGTAACATAATATAACATAACATAATATACCATAATATACCATAATATACCATAATATACCATAATATAATATAATATAATATAATATAGTATAGTATAATATAATATATTATAAAATAATATAATGTAAAATACCATAATATAACATAATACAATATACCTAAAATAGAATGTAACAAGTAATGTAATATATATAATGTATAATATTATATATAATATATATTAATCATCTAATGTATGTATACTCTCTAGTGTATAAACAGTAAATATAAGAAATTCATATTTCTAGCTATAATTGTTATATTTATAATTCTATTTCTCTATAGATAATATATAATTAAAGTTTTAAATAATATAATATAATTACATAATATATAATCTAATCTAATATAAAAGCTGTATCTATATCTATAATTTATTTTAATCTATAGTAGTAATATACGGCATATACTCTATATAATACATAAAAAGTAAATATAATGAGTTATAAAAATTAGATTTTTATCTATAATATAGATAATTAAAAGTTTAAAATAACGTAATACTATTATAATATACTATATAATGCAATAATAATATACAATGTATACTGCATATATTCTATAAACAGTAAATGAAATAAATGTCTTATAATTACATTTCTATATATATAATATATCGAATTAAAACAATGTAATATAATATAATATAATGTA